AAAAGACACATTTGTCATGTTTTTCTCTGCTCTCACACCACAGCAATAATCGTCAACAAAGAAGGCTTCTGTGACCAAACGTGAAAAGGTTTTACCCACCAACAAGCAATCACTTCTGCAGATAACACAAACTGGGTGTCACCTAATTCAGTTCTCACACTGTCTACAGATAGCATCAGATTTCACAGGTAAAAGGCTGAGTCCCATGAGACTGCCTCCCTACATCAGTCCTAAGTCTGAAACTCCAGAACTTCTGACCAATCAGCTTCAAATTGGGGTTCCCAGGACTCCCTCTTTGGATTAAATTGAATTGCTGGAATGGCTCAAAGTACTCAGGGAAACACACTTACCAGCTATACTATGAATGACATTACAAAAGGTGCAGATAAAGAGATGCATAGTGCAAAGTATGGGGCTAGTGGCACAGAGATTCCATGCCCTCTCAGAACACACTACCCTCCAGGAACCTCCATGTATTCGGTGATGTCGAAGCTCTTCAAGCCCAGTCCCTTTGGGTCTCTATGAAAGCTTCAATACATAGGCATCACTAATTAATCACTGGCTGTTGATGACTGACAACCTTCAGCCCTTCTCTCCTCCCCAGAGTTTGCAGAGTGAGACAGAAGATCTCAACCCTCTAATTAGTCAAGTCTTCAGGATGGTGACCAGTTCCCCTCCTGAATCTACCTAGGTGCTTCCAGCCATTGATCATTAGCATACCAAAAGACATCACTTTGGAAAGTCTAAGGAGTTTAAGAATTGTACACCAAGAAATGAGTCAAAGTCCAAACACAGGTTTTACATCTGCAGTTTTGAATTATGTGGTTACAGCTACTAACAGTTTCTTGTATTCCAAACAGTTTTCCATTGAAAACTCGAGAAATAAACAAGTCATAAGTGCTAGTGTGCCAGTCTGAGAAGCACAATAAAATCTTGAGTTCTTGCCCTCTGTCCATACCAGGATGTGAATCATTCCTTTGTCCAGTGCATTCACACTGCGTGTGCTGTCCAGCCATTAGTCATCAACATGGTCTCCTCCTACATCCAGCCATCAACATCATTAAGGCCTGAAGGTCTAGAAACACTCAAAGTTGATAATCTTTTTTTTTTTTTTTTTTTTTTTGGAGTTTCGCTCTTGTTACCCAGGCTGGAGTGCAATGGCGCGATCTCGGCTCACCGCAACCTCCGCCTCCTGGGTTCAGGCAATTCTCCTGCCTCAGCCTCCTGAGTAGCTGGGATTACAGGCACGCACCACCATGCCCAGCTAATTTTTTGTAGTTTTAGTAGAGACGGGGTTTCACCGTGTTGACCAGGATGGTCTCGATCTCTTGACCTCGTGATCCACCCGCCTCAGCCTCCCAAAGTGCTGGGATTACAAGCGTGAGCCACCGCGCCCAGCCGATAATCTTTTTTCTGACTTAAGAGTCAGGGGGTGAATAAGTGGCCTAACACTACATGACAATGCCTACATCATTCACCTCACTTCATCTCATTACATAGGCATTGTATCACTTCATATCATCACAGGAAAAAGGGTGAGAACCATACCATATATTTTAAGAGACCACATTCAGAAACAGGGATTCTTGCAAAAACTTTCCAGCTGCCAGTGGAGAAGACCTCAAAAGATATTAATGTGTTACTCTGGCCAATACTCTTGGGGAAGGTGCTGGGTGTTTTACTTAGTTGTAGCTTTGTGCTCTGCCCTACATATAACAAGGCCCAAATTCACCTGTCATTTTACCTGCCACAGAAAGAACCACTGGAAAGATTACTGCTTTAAGAGCTTATCCACTCTGAACCACATCACAGAACAAGACTCTGTCTCAACAACAACAACAAAAAAGAAACAAACCTAATTGTTCCCGTGTAAAAATAAGTCTGGGTCGACACTAAATCTGAAGCATTCTCAATGCCATGAGACAGGACAGAAATACATTAAAAAATTATATTCCTGCTTTCTGTAGAAACAAAACTGTTGAACTTAAGGTTTTATAAGGCAAGTCAAGAAAAAGAGCAAAAAATGCAAAAGTAAAATTTGAAAGGCCATTTCATTATCAAGGGCTTATGATCATGAGACATTCGCAAACTATATATATTTTTCAAAACTTTGGTTCTGAATTTTGACATAAGTTGCAGTTTCATTCGAGGATGTCCAAGAGGTCAAATAAGACAATGTCATTTGGTATTTTCAGCCTTTTCTTTTCTTTTCTTTTCTTTTTTAGAGAACAGTAAACTTCTTTAGAGGAATAAATTGTCATAACTTCATAGGTTAAAGGCTCGTGAGTCATAATTCTAAGTGCATTTGTAAAATATGGTGGTGCATGCTTGCGTTCTGAACTTCTCAGCCTTAAACTCATATAGTAAATAATTCACAGATACAAACTGATTAAACAAAAGCCCCTTTTAATCTGACATTATTTTTTCTTTTCATTTTTTGTTTGAGACAGCATCTTGCTCTGCTGCCAGACTGGAGTGCAGTGGCACAATTTTGGCTCACTGCAACCTCCGCCTCCCGGGTTCCAGTGATTTCTGCGTCTCAGCCTCCTGTATAGCTGGGACTACAGACACATATTTTAATAGAGATGGGGTTTCACCATGTTGGCCAGGATCATCTCGGTCTCCCTACTTCATGACCCAACCGCCTCAGCCTCCCAAAGTGCTGGGAGATTTGAGCCACCATGCCCAGATATTTTTCTTTATCTTTATTCTCTTTCTTCATTTATCAGGAGCAGGAGAGTCTAATTAAATGTGGTAGAGTGGTATAAGGGAATACAGTGAAAAGTATAAAATGAATTAAACCAGAGCTAATCGTATCAATGTGGATACATCTGGAAAATAGAATACAAAGTAAACAAAAGAAAGTGGCAGAAAGATATGTAAAGTGTAGAAGCACTCACCATCCATTTTAGGACACAAAAATTCTGCATATTATTTCTGAGCATCACAATATAGTTAAGGATTTCAAAAAGGTATTGAAATGGAAAACAGCCAATGATATTGGTAGCCTCAATGATGTTCATGACGTTGGTTGCCTCTATGCAATTATTTTTTTAAAAATCTTTTATACCAAAAAGTCTCAAAACCACCATTTTAAAAGACTGTCCTTCAGTTATGAATGAATGATTACTTTCCTAGTTTGTAATAATCAAAGATGCCACAAACACACCCATACACACACATGCATACACAGTGTGCTCATTAGAACATCTCATTGGCTTCAGATCATCAGTGTAATAACATTAACAGGAAGTCTCTAATGTAAGACAGAAACTGACATCTAAGTAAAGCATTCCTTTAGGTAAACACCAGAACTCCAACTAGCACATAAGACATTGGAAATATCTCAGAGTCTCAAAATTCACTACTTTGAATCCCTGATGAGTATAAAAATTCCATATTGGAAATGTTATGCTATTCAAAATATTAAAATAGAAACATCTGAGTTAAAACTATTTTTAAAATTTTGCTTTCTTCTATATTTTTATGGAAATATGGATACCAACAATAACATTTATGCCAATGCCTTTCATTCAATTTAGAACAAAAAGAATTAGGGGTAAGAAGAATGTGACTACTTCCAATCATTTAACGTACTTATTTTCAGCATTCCATTTGTATTGGAAGTGTACCTGCTATCGATATCTGTACATTCTTTCTTTGTACTGCTTCTCTCACAACCGATCTTCCATTTCAGTGGTAGGTTGAATGAGTTTTAAAAGAAAATAACTAATAAATCATATATATTTTATACAATATAAAGTTATTAATTAAAAATAAATATATATAATTACCTTCAAGGAAGGATATTATTCAGGAGGCCCTACAAAGCAAAGGGGACATGTCATCAATTATATGTAGGTATGACCAGGCCAACCAAGCATTCATGCAGTGTTATCAAGCTGAGTCCTCATGCCTGGCTATGAAAATAATTATTAAGGTTTTGAGGGTTCTTTTTGGCATCTTCTTTTCATTGCCTAGGACAGCAATGTGATGGAAATACATTGAGTAAAATAGGAATATGGGATCCCTAAATCACAAAGTTTGTATTTCAAAAGTGAGATTGCTTCAAATGCCTATAACTAAAATAGAAAAGTATGGATATTAATGTGAACACATTGGGCTGATAAGGATAAAAGGGACCATTAAACAGTGGAGCAAATCATAAGCTGAGAGAATCAATGTCAAGGCTGATGGTGAATGCTACAGAGTATTTAAAGTTGGAACATCAGAGGCATTCATGCCAGAACACCACAAATATTTATCATGTGCTTCCCCTTTTCCTGTCACTTAGGAAATACACCGTTGAGATGCCAGTTCAGGTGAATGTGTGATTCACCTCTCATCAAAGAAAGTGTTCTAAATTGATCAGCTATGATACAGACTTACAAAATAACAGTTTCTCAAAATTCTCATTTTCCCATTCCCACATGGCTACTGAAGCACCTACATTTCTCATATCCTCTTGTTTGATCTTAAGAGTTCCTTGATCCACTCATGCAAGACTTAAAACATCAAGTAAACCATACAGAATAAGATTTCAATATCAAAATACTTGCCAAAAGAGAAAACATTGAATTGCCAGTCTTGATAGAAAAGAATAAACTTTTATATTTCAAGATCAGTGCAGTGTTCTTAGAAAATGACAATTTTGATACTCACAAATTTTATAATATGACTGCTTCTAAAATTAGCTAAGTTTGGCATGTCATCTTACTCTGTAAATGACTTTTATGAAACAGCTATCATATCAAAGAACTGGCTGACCCCCCAAAAAAATTAGTCAAAATACAACTTAATCACATCTTATTCACTCATGTCAATGAAACTTCTTGCTCCGAGGCCTGACAACTATGAAGAGAAATTAGCAGTTGTGGTTTACCCCAATTCTAGCACTCCCTACTACCTCCAGTACTCCATAGCAATAACTGTTTTTGCTGGGTATATGTCCAAGGAACTGGAAGTGAGTTGCCTCAAGCTTCCTTGGTTTTGACTGCAAAGTCCCCCAATAAACCTTTTTTTCTTCCTCCTTCCTTGCCCTTTCACAATCCCTCTTCCTTTGCAAAAGTAATCTTTAGATCTGTCATCCAATGCTTCTCTTCCTAACTGCTTTTTATGGATAATTGCAACCACTTTTTTCATCTGTATTCAGCAGTAGTATACACCAACAATTTCTGTTTTCATCTCAATTCTGCTTCCTCTGTGGCTAGAATCCTGCTTCAGAAATAAAAGGAGATTAATGCCTTCCCTTGATTCTGTTATTTATTTAAATTGCTGTTCAATGGTTCTTTTTCCAGATTTCTCTAAAGGAAGGCTATTTCCTTGTTATTCAGAGCTGTGTCCAAGGAACAGCACCAACACCACCTGAGTACTCCTGAGGAGGGCAGAATCCCACACATGCTGAATGAGAATGTCCATTTTCCAGAAGCTCCCCAACTAATTCATGAAAATTTGGATACCCCGTTCTACACTAATATGCTTCCACATTTGTTTACCTTAATTGCCCATCTGAAACTTAGCCTCAATTTCTTCCCTATTAAGTCCCTGAATTTAATTCTGCATTATAAGCCGTAATGTTTCTAATACACTTTCAATCAGGCTATACCTTCTCTAACTTCCTCTTCATAAATCACATGACACTATTCAATTATGTTAATTTGGCCTATATGATACTATCCGATGAAGTTATAACATTTTCTATAAAACTAAATTATGGCCATACATGGCTGACCATCTATGGTGATATTCATCTATTGTAGATAAAACACAGATCTGTATGGTAAGGGACCTCAATCCTTAATGCCTCTCCAATAGTGAGAATGACAGCAAGAGCAGGAAGAAGTTAATTCTCTGACACATTGTGGTGCTGGAAGCTGACATTACCTTCTTTCCTATTTCTATCACTCTGTTCTTCCTTCTTCTACAAATCAATTTGACTTTACTACCCTCCTTTACATACACCCGCGTACTGTTTCTTCATTTATTCTATGTACACTCTACCCTCCTCATTCTTTCTCTCTTTTATTCATTTCCTCTTCCCTCTTTCCTGATTTTCCTCAGATCTTAGAATATCTTAAAATGGGAACTAATAATTCAGCTCCTTTAATGGTACTCTCAATAGACTCAACTGCTGACCCCTGATTAGATATAAAACTTATCACCATTTTACTTCTCCTTTACTTACTATAAAATTAATAGAACATTTTCTTTAGCTATTTTAATATATTAGTGTTCTAATTTAAAAAAAAAAAATTCCATCAAATGACTTTTTAAATCAAATAGTATTCTTACCTTCTTTTACATTGACTATACCGTGTTTTTTGTTTTGTTTTGTTTTTCCATTTTCAGGTCCAGGTAAAGGCTCTGACAGTTTCTGAAGGACACACTGCTGAGGTAATATCAAGCATGAGTTTCCGTTTAAAAAATTATAATGAGTTTCATAAAGACTTTCTTATCAATTTTTTTTTCTTTTTTTAAAACAGTGTCTCTGTCACCGAGGGCTGGAATGTAGTCGCGTGATTATGGCTTACTGCAATCTCAACCTCCCGACCTCAAGCAGTCTTCCCATCTCAACTTCCTGAGTAGCTGAAACTACAGCTGTGTACCATCATGCTAGGCTACTTTTTTATTGTTATTTTTGTAGAGACAAGGTCTCACTATATTGCCCAGGCTGGCCTCAAATTCCTGGTGTTGTGGGGTTTTTTGTTTGTTTTGTTTTTGTTTTGAGACAGTCTCGCTCTGTCACCAGGCACTAGGCTGAATCGCAGTGGCATGATCTCAGCTCACTGCAACCTCCTCTACCCGGTTCAGGCGATTCTCCTGCCTCAGCCTCCTGAGTAGCTGGGACTACAGGCATATGCCACCACGCCCAGCTAATTTTTTTTTTTTTTTTTTTTTTTTGTATTTTAGTAGAGACAGGGTTTCACCATGTGGCCAGGATGGTCTTAATCTCTTGACCTCAGATCCACCCACCTCAGCCTCCCAAAGTGCTGGGATTACAGGCATGAGCCACCATGCCCGGACCAAACTCCTGGTCTTAAGTAATCCTTTCACTTCTGCCTCCCAAAGTGTTGAGATAACCAATGTGCACCACCACAACCCAGCACTAATCAGTTTACTTAAATAAATCTCAGTTTACCCAAGCTTGGTGGCTGACTCTTACAATCCTAGCCTTTTGCAAAACCAAGGTAGGTGGATTGCTTCAGCTTGGAGTTCAAGACGAGCTTGGACAACATAATGAGAACCTATCTCTACAAAAAAATATATATATATATATACCAGAATGAGTTAGTCATTGTGGTGTGTGCCTGTAGTCCTAGCTACTGATGCTGGAGGATAACTTGAGCCTGGGAGGTGGAGACTGTAGTGAACCATGCCACCGCACTCCAGCCTAGGCAACAGAGCAAGACTCTGTCTCCCCCAAAATTTCAATTTAGTATTTTAAAACTAATTTGACTTAAAAAATAAGAGGAGAAGCATGTACTGAAAACCAAAGCATTCCAGTAGAGAATGTCATCTACACTTTCTAGGTCAGCCTTAACCTGTTACCTTCTTATGTCCATTGACTTGCTTATCCAAGTATGGCAGCCCAAAGGAAACATATTCACAGACAAACTATTAGCACGTGCATATCTCAGTCAGGAACTAGCTTCAAATTACCTAACTCCACTTTGCAGTCTCCACCAAAAAGAAAAAGAAAACATTTAAAAAATACATATTGGCAGCCGAGCGCGGTGTCTCATACCTGTAATCCCAGCACTTTGGGAGGCTGAGCCGCGCGTTATCATGAGGTCAAGAGATTGAGACAATCCTGGCCAACATGGTGAAATCCCGTCTCTACTAAAAAATACAAAAAGTAGCCGGGTGTGGTGGCACACACCTGTAGACCCAGCTACTAGGGAGGCTGAGGCAAGGCAGTTGCTTAAACCCAGGAGGTGGAGGTTGCAGTGAGCCTAGATTGTGCCACTGCTCCCCAGCCTGGCATGTGGTGACAGAGCAAGACTCTGTCTCAAAAAAAAAAAAAAAATATATATATATATATATATATATATATATATATATATATATATATGCATGCCAGGTGCATTGGCTCACGTTTGTAATTTCAGCACTTTGGCAGGCCGAGGCTGGTGGATCACCTGAGGTCAGGAGTTTGAGAGCAGCCTGACCAATGTGGTGATACCCTGTCTCTACCAAAAATTAAAAAAAATAGCCCAGATTGTTAGTGTGCACCTGTAGTCCCAGCTACTTGGGAGGATGAGACAAAAGAATTGCTTAAACCTAGGAAGTGGAGGTTGCAGTGAGTGAAGATCACACCACTGCACTCCAGCTGGGTGAAAGGGCAAGACTCCATCTCAAAAACTTATATTATATATATATATATATATATATATATATATATATATATACACACACACACACACACACACACACACACACATATATAAAAAATATATAATATAAATATTACTTGGTGTAATACAATATTAAAAATTTTAAATATCCTCATAAATATTTCAGTGTTAAGATATTTATGATAGAAAACTTGGAAATATGTCATATTGAGCATCAATAGAACACCACAGAAGATGCTTCATTTAGGTAAACAAAGACTTGAAAAAACCTACATATTTTTTGATAAAATCTTTACTGATAGAAAAATAAGGTTGAATGGCATGATAATATACTAATAATTTTTTTATGTTATCTTTAAATAAAAACAAGCAAATATGTGATCAACTGTGCAACTATTTTATTTTTTTTATTATACTTTATGTTCTGGGGTAGAGGTGCAGAACATGTAGGCTTGTTACACAGGTATACACATGCCATGGTGATTGGCTGTATCTGTCAGGCCAGGGACATTGGATCACACCTTTAATCTTAAGATTTTGGGAGGCCAAGGTGGGTGGATTGCTTGAACCCAGGAGTTTGAAACCAGCCTGGGAAGAATGGTCAAACACCATCTGTGTTTGACCATTAGCTGGGCATGGTAGTGCATACCTGTAATCCTAGATACTCAGAAAATTGAGATGGAAGGATCACATTACCCTGAAAGGTCAAGGCTGCAGTGAGCTGAAATTGCACTACTGCACTTTAGCACAGGCAACAAAGTGAGACTGTCAAGAAAGAAAAGAAAAGAAGAAAAGGAAAAGAAAGAAAGAAAAGAAAAATAGAGAGCGAGAGAAAGAACAAACTTCAAAAGTGTAGCAAGCCTTCTTTAAAAGGAAAAAAAAGAACATTTATTTAGGAAGCATTTAAATGTGACAGGATTCTATTTCACATTTGTTGTACATAGTGTAATCATAAAAAATAATTATGATGATGGCTTTCTGCCCATTCCAGGGTGTTAAGAGCAAAATGATGAATAGATATGATCCTTTGTTCTCTCCATTCAGAATTTCCTTCTCTTAGATTTTCATATGGCTGGATGTTTCTCATCCTGTAGTTGGCAGCTTCAGTATCATACTCAGAGAGGTCTTCTCTGACCACAGATTTCCATTCCTCTCCCATTCCCATCCTAACTACAAAATTCCTTGACATCTTCTAACATTTTCTATTTTCTTTGTAGAAAGCATTTATAGTGAAAAGTATTTGCTCTTTCTTTTTCTGTTCCTAATACTATAGCATAAGATGTCATCTTGTATATTCAGCATCTCACTGACTCACACAGTTTGTGATCTATAACCAAAATAAATTCTAGGTCAAAACACTTTTAAATTTCATCAGGAAGTCTCATGTGCTAAACCGCTGTGCTCTTACAGGACATCTTCTGTTGTAGTAGCCTGCTGAAGCTGAAGATGCCCCTACCCCAAATTTAAAATCCCCATGCCATTTCCTACTTTCCCATTCTTTTCTTGATGCTACTGCCATTTTATCATCCTCAGGTTTACAAAAATTTTCCTCGAGTTTTACTAAGTCACTGAATACTGTTGTGATCATTTTTTCTCACATTTGTAAACCTATTTTCCAGTTAACAAATGTTTTTACATTTCCGACTACTTTTGTTCATTACACATACTGAGAGTTACCATTAGTACCATTTTTATGAACGAGGTCAATGACAATCAGATAAAGAATTTTTCCCAAGATCCCATACCTAGGAAGTGGCAGAACCAGGATGCTAACATGTCTTTTGACTTCTACTGGTGCTGTTAAACTATACACCAGCTGCTTCTAGTGAAAAGTCAGGCCCCTCCCATTTCTCTCCACAGTCATAGCATTAGAATACGCCATTATTATTTTATAATACTTCTGCTGCTATAAGTGTAGCTGCCACAAAAGTACTCAGTGTTTTCTTTCTGAAAATGACTTCTACTTACTACAACACTCAACTAAATTGTTAAACTACAGTCCCACATAGTTACTACTCCCCATGATTTTTTCTTAACTTAAAATGTTCACTCTAGATCTATATTGGACAATCAAAATATATAAACATACTAAAATCCCAGCATTATCTTTTCAAATTCTAATTTCAGTAAAAACTACAAACTGTTTTTCTCTAACTCTCCTTATGATTTTGCACATCCAGATATACCTCAGAATGATACATTTGGCCACAGCTTAACCTGAAATAATTCTTTAGATTTTAGATAAACTTACTTTCAGAACACAAAGTGATTTTTTTGCACATTCTAAACTTTATTTTTCTGGCACTATACTATACTTCCTTCTTAAATGAATCATGCAAATTAGCAGAATTATACTATGAAGCAGTAATTTACTTAGCACATATATACTTTATTATCAGCTCAAAAACATGAGAAAATCATTATGGGCATAAGCTGGAAATAATTATTTGCATAAATCACTTCTTGTGGGGGGGAATGAGAATTTAGTTTATAGTAATACCTTATTTAAGTGGGATCGCATTGCAAATAGTATTCATTGCTTTTATTCCTTTTGTCAAAAAGATAAAGATAAGTGCATAAATTTACCTCTTCCAAAGAAAAGGAAAAGAAAAAACAAGAGTAAATCTTGTGGGTAATAATTGTTGAATGAAAGATGCACATAGATAATGAAAGAGAAAGCTGTAACTAAATATGCTGACAATGAAGACACAGATGGACTGAAAGACCAGTCACTAAAGAAATGAGATCTGTGAGAAAAAAATTAGGTGGGGATAAATCATTTTTAAAATGTGAGGATGAAGGGAGAAACAACAAAGAAGCCTAACTAGTCAGTTTAATGTGAGCTTCAGCCAAGAGAGAAAAGAAACATGACATACCATAAAGTACATGGAGAAATAGATATGTAACCGAGCCTTTTGTTCCTTTATAGCTGTAAAAATACAGGTTAATACTTGTGCTACAATTAGTTTTTTTAAAAATATTTCTGTGATACAGAGTTTAATTTTATTACTATAAAACATTCAATTAGCTAGACATGGTCATCTACCATTACCTGAAAGACTGTTATTATTACAGAGATGGAAAATTAGAACTTTCCATCAACTTTCCACCTAGAAGAAGAATTGGTCACCAGAATTCTAAAGAGTAATGCATGGCCTATAAAAGTGTATTTATTAGAGCACGAGCTGGGGCTAATAAAATGTTTAAGAAATTTTAGTCTAAAATCATAATCTAAGATTCCAGTTGAATTATACTAGAAAATATATTGTGATTGATAAAAACTACCTTGATGAAGATGGCCATTTAAGAACAGCTCAGGGTTGCAGCTCCCAGTGAAAGTGCAGAAGGTGAGTGGATGCTGCATT